GTTAGATTTGGATGAGAAAAACAGTACAACGTTGTTTGGTAGACATACCTATGCTGAACTTCAAAAAAAAAAAAAAAAAAAAAAAAAATTAAGGTTCATTTGCATAAAAAATACAACACAATGGACAACAACATGTAAGAAAAAATATTAAAATTTTGGCTGTAATAATATTACTTATCACATAATGTATAAAAGTAAAGTAATTTGGAAAAATAGTGGGGTTTATAATATTCCAGCACTCTATTTATACTGCATGCTGTCAGCCACAAAGGCTCTTGAAAAAAAGAGAAGCCTTCATGACATAAATGTTCAGTTCAAATAAAGCAATAAAATTCCAAGGAGGATATGATTTTCCTTTCTGGTAAATGTATGATGATGAGCACTTGAATGAAAAATTTGTGATAGGTCCAGACAAAATTGATAAGTTGGTTAATGTGCTGCAACTCTCTGTAAAGCGGGTGAGCAGATAAAATTGTTTTTGTATTTTATACATGCAAAGTTTAACTAGCAGAGCAGCTAAATGCCAGGCTTGGTCATTTATTTTAAGAGGGCTGAAATCAATGTCAAAACCACAGTGTTCCATTTTACTGTGCAAAAACTATAGCATTAAGGTTTTCCTCGTGATCTATGTTTAAATTTTCCACTTACTAAGCACCTATCCAATGCATTTTTCTCATTTGAAAAAAAGATAGGTGCAAAACATTTGATTTCCCCAAAAGTAGTATGGGTGGGTCTCATTGGCCAACTTACCAATTTTGTCTGGCTTAAAGACAAACGGTTAAAGGGATAACAACTGCTCATTTTGGCCAAAAAAAATGAATTTTCCTGGGGTAAAGGACAATTTTCCCATATTTACCAATGGTTAATGAATCCAGTTCCACATTCAATGTTAGTCCCTGTTTTTTTTTTTTTTTTTTTTTTTCAAAAAAGTTTGCTTTTTTGTAATTATCTCTTAAGAGATTATTACAGAGTGTAGCCATCTATGGAGGTTACGTGATGTGATGGCAAGCAGAAATTCCAAAATAATTGTGTTAACCGCCGTTTTGGTTGTAAAATAGAATTTATTATATTTCTATGAGTTGTTTACAATGTATTTATTGTGAAATAAGGATATCTTACGAACAGTTGTTATCCCTTTAATAAAACAGGCTCTCACAAATATGTCCTTGATCCAAAAGATACCTACACAACAAATGTCCTCATTTTTGTCCATTTGTTTTCAGATTCACCTCCCTGCTTCTGTGTTTTATAACAATGAGTCTGTCATTTTCTTAACACATTAAGCATGTTATTAAGCTGCCTCATTGCACTCTGCTTTCGTTCAATTGTAAAACATGGCAAAATGGTTCAAATAATTTTCCAGACAGTCATATGAAATCTTTATGTGCTTCAGAAGATGGGCCTGGACAGTTTGTTCTCATGTCATCTGAATCTGAAAACATAACAGGCATGTTACTATACTTGTAAGTAAAATTATTACTTATACAGAGAATCAGTAAAAGCATAATTCAATATTATTTAAAGACAACTTGAAAACATATTTTAAGCTTTCCCTTCAATAAAAAATGCATTTGTACACTTCACTGAATTATTTCTGACAGAACTTTTTGATTTTGTGTTATCTTGTTTACCTTCAAATGCAGTTCCACACCAAACACAATACATGTGTGTATTTCTCAAATACAGAGTAAGAATCTCCAGTTTTGCTGTAGGCTGGAAGGATGTAATACAAACAGATGAAAGATGTAAATAAATAAATAAATAAAAAAACTAATGGGTTATTCTACAGTGTTTTCAATTATATTACATCCTGTTTCTTTTAAACCACTCTCTGTCCCTATTACAAATTAACTTTAACATAGAATGGAGACCTATATTTTTTTGTTCTATAAATTAATTTAAAGGCTTTTTGGAGAGGGAAAGATTTTAAAGATAGGAATGGAGACCAATATTTTTTTGTTCTATAAATTAATTTAAAGGCTTTTTGGAGAGGGAAAGATTTCAAAGATAGGAAAATATGTACCAATAAATCTTAAGGCGATAATAATTGCAACTAGACATCCAACCTTGGCAAGTTCTTTGTAAATCAACTTTATGAAACGCAAATGACTGCTAATTAAATATTATGTCTGAGTGAGCAATAGCAGACTTGTCCAGTGCAGAATACATTAAGCAGATATCCCCAGAATCCAAACCTACAATAACAGTGCTTTTTTATACACTACTTTATCTTTTAAGTTACTGATACAAAATGTAGGAAAGTCACTTCTCATTTCATCACCCGAATTCGACTTTCACTCATTCACGCATTTATTTTCAAACCAATAATAATAATGCAAATTATGGTGCACTGGAAAAGATCAGGTAAGTTAATTATATCAAATATATATACAGTCTACCATGAAAAAGAAACTTACCTCCAACTCATCTTCTTCATCCTCTTCCTGTTCTTCTCCATCTTGATCCTGAACCTCAAAACTATAACCTTCTCCCTCCTCTAGGTCATATGTTTTTTTCTTAGGTAAACTTGCTACAGGCCAGAAAAACTGTTCGGCCGGTTTTTCTAAACCCTATGAAAATAAAAGTAAAAATTTAATATTATGACAATATTGCATTTGAGGAAAAACTTTGAATCTAAGTGGCCACAATCATTTTAATACACCAAACAGGTTAACCTCTGTTTGGAACAAACATTACTGACTAGATTCTATCTGTCCTGTGGAGGAAACTCCGAGAATAAATGAAGCATGAAATGTCAGCAAAACTCTTCATGAACAAAATCACTGGCCTCAGCAAACTGAGGTTCCAACAAACAGGAGTACAAACTGTGTCACTAAGCAATCCTTAATCCTCCCACAGGCGTCCACAGTGATGAAAACAGATGAGAGATGATGAGTACATCTTTTTTCTAAATAGGTCAAGCCTGGTGCTGAAGCTCATTATGTCTAAAATTTTATCAACATATCCATGTAGGTGAGATTCCACTGATACTGTATATCTTTTTTTTTGTTAGTTCTACATCTACATATGTATATGGCAACTTCAATGTAACAGTTTAATACCTAATGACAAGTCTAATATTTCAAAGGTCAATACATTTTAAAGACATTATGTAAATTTCTTCCCCAAAATGATATTTCTTTCATTTCACTTTGCTCACCTTCTCAGAGTCTAATTGCTCACAGACTTTTTGACTCTTATGCAAATCACTCTCAATATGTCTATCTGCAACCTTGCTGCTCATTCTGGTCCTGAAATTGCCTTGTATTTCCTTCTCCTGCCTACATACCATATTATTGAAATAAAAAAGTTTAATAAAGGAATGCAAACAGTACCTGTCTTTTAATTCAGTGTTTATATATGATGCTCCAACATGCTATGAAAATCATCATATAAGATGAATGCATCTTTAACTTAACTAATTCAAAGGAACTGTTTTGAAGTAAACCTTGTCTAGTAAATGTAAATCTTGTGTCTACTTATAATAACAAAGAAAATATTACAATTCATTATAATCTAGCATTAGCAAAAGCAACTATAATAGGCAAAGCAAAATGGAACTACTGAGAACAAGAATATGGGACCTTATAATTTGTGTCATATCAAAACACTGTGTACCGCATTCTTTTTTGCAACATTAAGGCTTGCAATGCCTGGGATTCGGCTTGTTTTCTCTTCATTTCTGAACTTCTGCCAAGTCCACTTCTGTCAGCTTTGACCTCAATGGGAATAGGGTTTGCACGGCCATCACCTGACAAAAGAAAAAAACTTAACATGCTATCAAACAACATAAAATAAGTTGAATCATTTGGAGTGTATATGTGTTAGAATAACAGACCCCACATCCAATGCATAACATCTTCTTATACACATTAAATATTTATAAAAGTAACTAAAAAAGCAATAAAAATATTTGTAAATTAGCATATATATAATGGCACTACAGTAACTGCACAAGTTAATTTGAAGTAAAACATGCATCACAACTAGTAGTCTAGTACTGATATAGTTATTTTCTGCAAACATAAGATTTGATATATTTTGAAACGAGGAATATATTGCGTCCCAAGTCCAATTTCACTAAATCTTCAGTGCCTCCAGCTCTGTAGTAGCTGGGAATACAAATGTACAAAAATTATCAATCCATTTACCTTTTTTCCCAATACCTGCTCCTGGTTTATAACCCATTTTCTTTAACAATGCAAAACCTTTGTTTTCACTGCTGATTGCATTTTGCAGACCTTCCTCCCTTTTTTCTGCTTCTATAACCTTTTTTGGTTTAATTTTATTTTTTTCATTTAGTATCTTCTCTTTTTTCTCCTGCTGCAATTTTCTTGCTACATTTTTTGGCACAAGACCAGGTCTGGTGTCATTCCTGAAAATATTTAAAGACTTTTTAATACTTCATCTTAAATACTGCATAAATCAACAGTGTTAAAAAAAACCCTCATATAATTTCATCCACTGCACACACTGTCTTCAAGATAAGGTTTATTTGTTGATGCTCACTAGCAACATGATCTGTGTGAAGTCTCCAACTTCTGAACCTGCTCCCAAAACTA